GCTTTCCTCTCCTCCATCTATCTACTCCCCTTCCTGTCAGCCTTTGCTTTCTTTCTTAAAGCCAAATATTTATTGTTGTTGTGGTTTTTCTAGAGTATTTCAAACATGCTGGGAGGCTCAGCCACTTGGGTATTTAATGAACACTTCCATCTTTGAGATCCTAGGCCTCTGTTTCCTCAAGTGTAATACTCTAAGATGATTGGCCCCCCACCAGTGGTCCTTACCATGTAATATCAAACACACTGATGGAGTGACCACTCGGGTTTAAGAAATGTTAATTTTATGCCGTATTGACTTCAGAGTCTCTAAAAAGGAAAGAACCCCACTAAGGTGGAAATAAAAAATGGGAAATAATAAGTGTTGGAGGGAATGTAGAGAAACCGGAGCCCTGATGCAATTGTTTGGTGGGAATGTAAAATGGTATAGCACTGGAGAAGACAGGATGGTGGTTCCTCAAAAAATTAAACACAGAATTATTACATGACCCACCAATTATACTTGAAGGAATATATATATATATAAATATACCCAAAGGAATTGAAAGGGGAGACCTGAGCAGATATTTATACGTCAGTGCTCATATAGGCATTATTCCCAGCAGCCAAAAGATGGGTACAACCCAAATATCCATTGACAGATGAATGGATAAATAAAATGCAGTATATACATACAGTGAAATATTTTTCGGCCTTAAGGAATGGAATTCTGATACATGCTACAATATGAATGAAATCTTGAACATTACACTAAGCAAAATAAACCAAAGGACAAATACTGTATATAATTCCATTTATATGAAGTACCTAGAAAATTCAAATCCATAGAGACAGAAAGTAGAATAGTGGTTACCAGGAGGTGGGGGGATAGGGATTTATTATTTAAGGGTATAGTTACAGATTTGAATGATGAAAATGTTCTGGAGATGGGTGGTGGTGATAGTTGCATAACATGAATGTATTTGACATCACTGAACTGTACACTTAAAAATGGTTAAAATAGTAAATTTTATGTATATATATATTTTTAAAAGATTTATTTATCTATTCATGAGAGAGAGAGAGAGAGAGAGAGAGAGAGAGGCAGAGACACAGGAAGAAGGAGAAGCAGGCTCCATGCAGGGAGCCCGACGCAGGACTCCATCCTAGGCCTCCAGGATCGTGCCCTGGGCCAAAGGCAGGTGCCAAACCGCTGAGCCACCCAGGGATCCCCTGATTTTATGTATATTTTATTGCAACAACAACAAGTCATTCCTTCAAGACTTGGTTCAAATGGGATCTCCTCCTGCTTCATCCCACCCTATGCCCAACCACATCTGATATGTCCTTTGGTAGTGATTTGTTTCATCAGTCTGAACCAGAGAAGACATTGTGTGTGTTTCCTTTTCACAAAAACCCCAAGAGGGGAAAAAAAATGGAAAAGTCCTTCATTGAGTCATTCAACAGGGATGATGGAGCACCTCCTGTGTAGGGAATATATACTCAGCTCGGGGACAGAGGATTAACACAATACAGCACCAAGATCTACAAGGTCCAGCATGTGAGTAGAGGCAGACAGCTAGAGCAAGACTACGTGACTACACAGAGGAGGGGGGAGAGGGGATGTGGAGGGTGATGGGAGGAGGGGGCTGTCCTCAGAGGGGGTGGCTTTTGAGCTGACTTTTGAAGAGTGACTAGGGATGTAGTAAAGGATAGCTGCTGGGATGGCTCATGACCAAACATGATTACGAAAGAGAGCCTGGGTGGGGAAGTCGGGTGAGAAATGTCACTTCAATTCGTTTGGCTTGGGCCTTGCCCAGCAATGACCTTGAACAATTACTTAAAGTCTCTATGTGTGAAATAAGGGACAAAAGTATCTGCCTGGATCATTGTGAGAATTTGGATAAATTTTGTCAAGCAAGCCGTCACCCCTCCTCACTGCGTCAGCTGGCAAAGCCCCCTTGTGGTCGAAGACACCTCTCTGCTGCTGAGAATTTGAGGAATTGCCGGAGAACAAAACCTTTTGCTGTTGGGTTGTGTGTCCCTGATACCTTCAGCCACACACCCAGAGGGCCCTACGAACGCCCACCCCAGCTGAGCTCGGCAGGAACACCCACCACCTAGACTCCAGGGTGAGGGCCTCCATCCGGTCTCAGGACTGTCTGCATCAGCCCATTTTGGATCCCGTGGGTAAAGGGACTAAAGCTGGACCCAGGTTTTAGAGAGAGGGGGAAGCAGTGCCTAAGAGTTCTATTGATGGTTTTAATCGTATTTTGGTTTCGTTCTTGGAAATGGCAGTGAATTCCCATTTTAAATTCACTCTGCATACATCTCGGATTGATTTGTGCTTGTCTGGAGGCTCTGGGATTTGCCCAGTCTCCATCGATACACGAGAGTGGACTTCAGAAGAGGTAATTACAGGGCTGGAGCCAGGAGAGGAGAGGGGAGAGGAAGCGTCCCTGAAGGAGGCACCCAGCTGCCCCCCAGCCTGCAGAGAGCCGGTGCAGTTACTGGAAGTGCCTGCAGAGACAGCCACCGGAGGACCTGCTGGGGTAGAGCCCCATCCGGTTAGAGCCCTGGCAAAGCCGGGCACCAGGGGGTGTGACAAAGCTCAGCGCTTGGAATGGAGAAACCTGATTTTTGAGTCCTAGCTCTGGAAGAGAGATTACTTGACTTTGTGACTGGAGCCGGTCCCCTAACTTGCATCTTCATTAGTACAATGGGGATCGTTTAATCCCTGTCTTTTGTTCTCAGTGACCTGGGTCAGAGCCAGCACCGCCCTCAGCCCCTCTGGGAGGGTCACCTCCAACAAAGCCCCTGCTGAGTGCGGCTGGACCTGAAACCTCCTTTGCTGGCCTCTGCTGACTGTTAGAGCTGGAATCTGGCCAAGAGGGGCCGGCTACCGGACTTGGACTTGAGACCCGCTTCAGAAGCCACAGCCACACAATCAGATCCTCCCTGAACACTAGAAAGGAAGCCCGGGGTCGCTGACAGCAGTCTGTGGACACTGGAGATTGGAGGGGTGGCACCCCGTAGGGGCATTTGCAAGAGGAGGAAAGTGAGGGAGGAGGGGAAGGAGGGCAAAGGAGAACACAAAAAGGCAGGAGTGCCCTCCTTCCTCACCGGGTTCCATGCCCAGTTTGCAGGAGGAGCACTACTGCCTGTCCTCCGATTCCCTGTCATGTCCACATTCTTGCCTCAACCTCCACTTTTTCTATTTCCTGAATCCCCAAGGGCCCAGCCCACCTGGAAGAGCAGCTAAGAGAATGAAATAAAATAGTGGGTGAAGTTAAGGCCTCAGATGGGAGGCTCTAACTCCCCTGGAGGCACCAGGGCCCCTTCGCTTTCTACCCTAATACCCCAGCCGGCTATTTCTGCATCCCATTTAGGGACACACATCGCTTGTCTTGCTTATTGTCCTCCCGCGCCCAGTCCCAACAGCAGTCCCTTGAGAGCCCCTTGCCCGCCTTGCTCGGGCTCTGTGCAGTACCTGGCAGCCCCTGGCACCCAACAGGGCCTCGGGTAGTATCTGTGGGCTGACCTAGCCCAGAAGTGCTGACACCCTCCACCCACCAGGAAACCCTGGTCAATCTCTGCTCTTCCTTCTCCCTCACACCCTGTGCTCAGGCACGGAGCCCCGGCATCACACTTCCTGCATATTTCTTCTGCCCTGGGTCCTCTCCACCTCAGCCAGGTTTCTAGTGACTTCTCACTACACCTGGAGCAACTGCCTCCTGCAGTCCACCTCCCACTTGGCCTCTGGGAGGACCCCAGGGCTCTGTCACTTTTCAGTGCTGCCCAATCCTTTGGGTTTCAGATTTCTCCATCTTCTAGGCCCTCAAGCAGGCCTGCGCCCACCTCTCCAGCCTCACCGTTTCCATTCCTGGCTTCCTCTTTGTGGCAATGGTGACAGAATTGTGATCCTGCGGTGCCTGCTTCATGGCTTTCATCCCTGCTGTCCTTTCTACCTGGAGGGCTGCACTCACTCTGTCTCTCCTGTCCCCTCACTAGTTCCAACTCACCTTTTAAGACCCCCTCAGCCATCTCCTCCTCCTAGGACTTACAAGGCTCAAGGCTTGGCGGGCCTGCTTCCGCCCCTCCACTCGGGCTCCCAGAATCCCTTGTGCCTTGATCAGAGCACCTACCTGTGTTGACCTTGTTCACTTGTCTGAGTGCTCTGCAAGATGGGGACAGACAGCCTGGCCCCCAAAGTGTCAGGAAAGCTTTGGAACAAACATCCGGAAGCAGCAGACCTTGGTACAAAGCCTGCTCTGGTGTTTTGTTTTTAGCTGTGTGACTTTGGTCAAGTTGTTAGCCACTGTAAACTTTAGTTTCTTCCACTACATGATAGAACTAATAATAATTGGCCACCCCCAGGATTACCTGGGGGGGGGGAATGAAAGGCGGTGGGTGGACAGCCCTAAGCACCAGCCCAGCTCGTAGGGAGGGCTCCAGGGATGTCAGCAGCTAACCCAACTGAGAAAAAATATTTCTAAGACTGCCGGGGCAGAAGGTCTTCAAAAATCCGAGCTAACCCCGCTGTTCCGAGAAGAATTAAGGAACCTCTTCAAAAAAAAAAAAAAAAAAAAAAAAACCCGCACACGACCCATCTTCGTTAATGTTCCCCGGAGAAAGTGGGGGAGACGTGCCCCCCACCCCAAACCAGTCATCCTGTGCGAATCAGGACTGAGATTTTTCAAAGTGAAAGGAAAGTCTACGTTTAAAGGGAAACACGGATCCCCCCTCCCCACCCCCCACCCCACCCCCACCCCCACCCCCGCAGGGGAGGATGAGGTTGAGACTCTGGAGGGACAGACGCGCGGGGCGGCCTCGGTGGCAGCGAGCGCGGTGCAGGTCGAGGCCCGGGCGAGCGGGCTCCTGCGGGGCGGGGCGGCCTCGGGGCGGCCAGGGCTCCGGGCTCGTCCAGGCGGCTCCTGGAGCCACCGCCCCCGCGGAGGCTGGGCCCGGGAAGGCGGCGGGGGGGGGGGGGGAGGCCGTTCGGACGCCGCAGCCTGCGTGCTGGGACGGGCGGCGGCCGCCCAGAGCCCCGGGGAGCCGGGACGGGCGCGGGGGCAGAGCTCGGTGTCCCCACCCCCGGCCGCCGACCGCCGGCCGCCTCTCGAGGCAGCCGAGGCCTTCGCGCTGGCCGTCCCCGGGGGCGGGGGGCGTCGTCGGCACGCCTCTGCCTGCGGGGTTCGACCTCAGTCTCCTCCTCCGGGCAGTGGGTTTGCAGCCCCGCGGCTGGGAGAGCGGCTCTCGTGAGGCCCGCCCGCGGCCGCCCGTCGCCAGGACCTGCCCCGCCGCCCGGGCCCGGCCGAGGCTGAGCCCTCCCGCCGCCCCGGGCCCGGCCCAGGAGGAGCCTCCCGGCGCTCGCGGGCGGGGACGCGGTGCGGGCGCCCCGGGAGGTCCGGCGGCGGGCGTGACCTCACGGGGAGGGGCCAGCGCGGCGCGGGGCGCGGAGCAGAGCGCAGAGGGCGCAGCGCCGGAGCCGCGGGCCGGGAGCGCACGCCTGCCCGATGGAGCGCTACAAAGGTGAGGGCGCGCGGCGCGGCCGGGGGCGGGGGCAGGGGCCGGGGCGGGGGCCGCACCGCCCGCGCCCCCGCAGCCCCGACTCAGGTGAGCCGGGCCGGGGGCGCCCCGGACACCAGCGGGCCCCGAGGTGGCGGGCGCGGCCCCGGCGCTGGGACCCTCGCGGGCGCGGAGGGCGGGGGCCGGCGCGGCGGGGCTTCCCACCTGTTAGAGGAGAGACGCTGGCGGGGGGACCCACCTCGCAAGCCCCGGCCGCCCCCGAGAGATGCCGCGGCCACGGAGGCCCGGAGTCGGTGAGGGGTCGGGGGTGCGCTGGCCGCGGGGTGGGCGCGCAGCTCCGCTCCGGTGACCGTCGCTCCGCACGCGGGGGGCGCGAACCCGACGCCCGGCAGGTGGAGCGCGCGGGGGCGCCGGGCCGGGGCGCCGCTGGGCAAGTTGCCGCTTCGGCCGAGGGCGGGGATCTTGGCCAGACCCCGGTGGTGCCCGCAGCCCGGCCCGCGCGGGTGCTCGGACCAGAGAACCCCGGGGCCGCAGTCTGGAAGCCAAGCACGAAGGAGCTTTGTTTTTTTTTTTTTTTTTTTTTTTTGGGGGGGGGGATAGAGTTTACAGAGGTGCCCCTGCGGTGGGGCGCTGCGGACGCCCCCGACCCTCCTTTCATTTGGGAAAGTCTCTTGCAGTTCCTGGTCCTGGACTCGGTCCCCGCCGAACCTGGGAGAGGAAATACCGTTTTTCTATATTTATTTTCCCCTGGGAGAGGGCAATAAAGGAGAACGCTCAGATTCCCAAGGAATCTCATTCCCGGCGGTTTCTCATTTCTGAAACTGACCTAAAGGAGCCTTCTGGGACCGGCTCGAGTTCCCTGCACTAGTCAGGTCTTCGGACTTCTCCCCGCCGCTTTTTCTCATCTGGGTCACCTGGTTGCAGGTGAGGGTGAAAGATGTACATTCGAGGCAGCGCTTCATGCAGAAAGAAAGGGTCTTTGCCAAGGGCGCGGGAAGCCGACCGGGGGGACTGGGTTGACTTAATTGCCAACCTTTGGTTTCTTTCTGTGAACCCTCCCTGGAGCGCCTCTCACATTTCTGACGGGGTGGGTTTTTTTTTTTTTTTTTTTTTCATCCCAAATTCTGCTGAGATCACGTCTAGTTTTGTGCTGGAATGACCGAATGCGCCCTTATGTAGTCTCAGGACATCTGAGGAAGCCACAGCCCCTCTCTTTGTAGAATGGAAGCTTGCTACTCCCTCCCGGCCTGCCCTCCGCCCTTTGGGAGGGACCCCCATAGGGAGTTCAGGACTTGCAGTTGGAAGAATTGGCTTCCGAGGTCCCTTTTAACTCGGGGTGAGCCATTTCTGAATTGTGAAGCCAGAGAGGGTTAGCTCCTGTTCGAAGGTACTTTCTCAAACCAGTATATTAATCTAAGGGCAAATTATGGCACTCGGGGTCTTCTTTCTAAATGCCCAGTATTATCAGAAGCTTTTTGTATTAATAATAGCTTTTGACTTGGCCCTTGACCTGAGAAAGTTGTCATCCTTATCTTTTTCTCTTGGGAGTTTAAAATCTTCCCACCCCGGAATATCAGTTAGGGGCTTTTTGCCAATTTAGTTTCCATTTCAGAGTGTTTATGTTTTTGGTAACACATATATCTGCCTCATTTTGCGGTAAATCAGTGATAAATGGATACATCTGAGAATTAGCTGGATTGCAGAGTCTAATCCAACTCCTCTTTTCCTGTTTGACTGCAGAGTCTTCAAGACTCACCAGTGAATGCTGATGTTTACTAACTACACCTCAGCCTAGGAATTTAGGGATCCCCCCCACCCCAGGAATGTAGAATTCCCCATTCTTTTGAGAAGCTGATGACTTGTGTTTTGAACTCTGATTGAATTGAAAAATTGGTCTGTGCAAAATGAAGCGTGTGGGCCCAGTCTCCAGTTAATCAGAGCAACTCTAACTGGAATCCACAGTCTTCTCTTGCTCATCAGAGATTGAGGGTGTTTTGTTTTTAAGGTAAGATTAACTAAAAGTTAAATGGAAAAGCAAGATCCACATGGACTTTTAGAACATATAAAAGTCATAAAGGATTCTCATTGGTGACACTTTTCAATTTTGTTACTGAAATGCCCCATTCTGTATTTCTAAATTCCCAATTTTGTCCTCTCCCAAATAGATAGAATGCCTCATTGTTGTGTCCAGATTCTCAATGTTATTATTATTTTTTAATTTGTAAGCCTTATAAAACAGTCAACGTAGGTGAAATTGTTTTGCATGCTCTCTAGTCTGTTACATCTTCTCCAATACTAGCCTGTCATTTTTAGACTCAGGGCTGATTTTCCATTGTTTTGTAGGATAGAGAGAGAGGTCTGGAGCTAAAGAGTGGTTGGAATATCACTCTCTGTCTAACGCAGAAACGTTTCCAGACTTTTCTCCCATCCCATCGAAGCCATTCTGTTAGTCATGGCTCGCTCAAGCAAAAGCAAGGGGTATGGGTGGTGAGAAGACTCTCAAGCAAAAGCAAGAGCTGGGGGGGGGGGGTGTCTTCCCAGAGAGATGGAGCTTTTATAAGAGTTCTCATAAAAAGTGATGGTAGAGTTGCTATTTCTTGTACGTGAGTCTCTTTGGTGCTATATAAGCAGCGCCAGCTCTACGGGGTCCCTTGAAAAGGTTCCCATCCTTGGATGTTTACATATTTATGACTCTCATAAGAGCACCCTTGGATCACTGTGCAGGAGCCCATTGGCTGAACTCACACCATGTGGTCAAGGATTCTGATTCCTACTGCTCTTCCAGCTGGTGAGTGTGGCCAGGGCCAAATGTGACTGACCTACTATCTGTGGATTACACTTGGAACATCCCGAGGAAGCTTCCTGAATTTGCATCACACTTGGATCCAAGCCGTCATGGTTGAGCTATTCACTTTAATTTGGATCACAGTACTTGGTTGAAGGTGTAATCTGTCTTTTTCTGTTTTTGTTTGCTTGTGAGTCAGTTCACCTGATTCCCAGGAGAGGGCACTTTGTTCTGAGGTACTGCAAGGGTAGAGGTGGTGGGGAAGAGTCAAGCCAGTAAAAATACTTGGGAGCCTAAACTGAGAATGCTGAGATCTGTGGTCAGGGAAGGTCTGAAAAAGAAAAAACAACTAAGAGAGATGGGTGGCTTGATAATAGCCACGTCAGAAGCATCGTCTCTGAGTTCTTGTTTTCCGTGCTTAGGAGCTCAGATTTTTCCCTATTGAAACTGTACTTCAGGGCAGCCCCGATGGCCCAGTGGTTTGGCGCCGCCTTCAGCCCAGGGTATGATCCTGGAGACCCGGGATCAAGGGCCACGTCGGGCTCCCTGCATGGAGCCTACTTCTCCCTCTGCCTGTGTCTCTGCTTCTCTCTCTCTCTCTCTCTGTGTCTGTCATGAATATATAAATAAAATGTTAAAAAAAAAAGAAACTGTACCTTAGGCAGTAGTTCCTAATCTGAGCCACAGGTGGGAACCGTGTCCCCTTTTTTCAAGACCAAGCTGAAGTGAAGAAAGAACATGCAGAGCATTTCATAAGATTATCTAAAGGATCCTAAGAGTAAAATCTGCCTTCTGCTACGTAGGCCCCACTCAAGACTTTGATTCGGGTGGTCTAGGGGTGCAGCTGAGCTATTCAGGTGTTCTGATGTGTAGCCAAAATTGAGAATCACTGGGAAAAAAGATAAGTGGTTCTATATGCACCTGACATAAAAGCCTGATGCCCATACTCCTGTGATGGGCTTTAACCAAATCTGTGACACCTGCAGAAAGCTAATGGGATTCACCTGAAGCTATCCTAGGCTTTAAAGGCTGTGGGAACACTGCTTCGGAACCATCTCGAAAGTGATGCACAATCCTAAACTCAGGGTTTGCTCATGGTTGTACTTGACCTGGAGCCCTTCGACTTTGAAGCTCCTTGTCTGGAGGCCTTGATTGGCAATGGAATGGTCGGAAACAGAAGTCCAGAGGGGTCCCCTCTGGTGCTGAAGGGCAGGCTGGGTGGCGGGAATTCTACTTTGGGCCCTGCCCCTCTTCTGAATCGGTAGGAGCTCTGGGAACTGGGCTGGAGCCAAGCACAATTAAAGGGCCAGGAGGGGCCAACAAGCTTCAAAGCTTCGGAAGCTGTGCCAGTTTTCTTGCAAATGCCTTTAATGATGGGAAATGTTTCTCTAAAGACTTCTGTCATTCAGAGAAGGGAGACGTTTCCCTAGCTCAGGGAAGATGGCACATCTGCCCAGGCCGAGGCAGGAAACAGAGCAGTCATGGCGTGATGAGGGAGAAGTGGCTTGGAAGCGGGGAGACCCATGACTTTGGTTTCCTTGGACAAGTCACTGAGCTCTCCGGGCCTCAGTTTCCCTATCTAGAAAACAGCCTCCAGGGTGGGTAGAGCCTGACTTTCCGAGCACTCTTCAACGCTGTTGTGCTGTGGTCACTGGGGAATCTTTGGAGGAGGATGTGTCTTGAGGGGAGGGAAGCGAAGGAGGGGACATGGGTAGCCCAACAGAGGTCAGTTTAGGGTTGTGATTCTTATAAATAAAATCAATTTCCTGGCGAGAGCCAAGAGCAGCAGACAGTGGGAAAGAGCATGCCATTGGCCTTGTGAGGAATTCGTTTCTCAAGGACTTTTGTGTGAGTGTGTCTCCAAAGATTGGTAGTGAAGCCCAGAGCCACCCCCCGAAACACAGGATTATTCATTCCCATTTGACAGGCGGGTCAACTGAGATCTAGAGAGATTAAGCAACAACTCAAACCGGATGCAAAATCCCCGAGAATTGAGTTTCTAAAGGGTAGAATTCCTGTTCTCCTAACAGCAAGGGTTTATTTAGAAAGAAGTACTCAAAGCACTTTCAAACTACTTCCTTCTCTGTGTCCCGTAAGCCAGGAAGAGAGCAGCTGTTCATAGAAATGCTCCTCGATCTTCAGGACCTAGTGCACATGCCTCCTCTTCCAGGAAGCCTCCCCTGATTGCCTCTGTGTTCCTGGGCTACTAGAGGGATAGCCTCATCGATAGAACATCCTAGGTACTCAGCAGAAATAGCTGTTGAATTAACATCACGATGTCTTGTATGTACAGATGTCCGTTCCCTCTCCCTGAGTGCCTTCAAGACAGAAAGCTTGTCTTTCTCCTCCCCGTGTCCCCTCCCCCTCAGCCCCTGGTACCCGGCAGGACCAGCATGTGGGTCCCTGGGGCATGACTGGGGCCTGGGCGAATGACTGATTCTAGGCCACAGGAGCACATAGTCTCTGATGCTCTGGCCCTCAAGGGCCGACCGGGTTCACAAAGGGAAATGAAGCAAAATCTCAAAGCCACACCCTGCTGAGTGGAGACGGAAGCCCACAGAGGTGGCCCCTGGCTTTCCCGACTTGAGCCTTATTTCTGTCTGTTCCAGCACAGGGGTGTTGCTGTCTGGTGGTACAGAGAAGGATCCTGCAGGTTTCTGCCTGTGAGTATGAGCCTGCCTGTGCTCTCTGCAGCAGCTCACCTGGCCTCCAGGGCTCCCGAGGGCGCAGACCTGGCTCTGCCCACGCTCTGGACCGACGGCTGAGGGATCTTGTGGAGCTGGGCGCTGGCCTGGGCACTCTGGAGCTCGGGGTTCTAATCTGGCCTTTGCCACTAACTCGCTGTGCGACCTTGGGCAAGTCACTTAATCTCTTTGGGCCTTGTTTCCTCATCTGTACGAGTGAGGATAATGACTACTAACCTGCCTCACCGACTGCCTGGTAGAATGATTTATAAGAGCTACTGGTAAATACTTTGAGAAGGGGCAATGTTAAATGAATCCCGGGGAGCAGCTCCCGAGACCTCTAGGACATGGCTGAGACCCCACCCATTCCTGCCTTCTTGCGTGTGGATCGAGGGGGGCCCTCCGTTCATTTGGGCACCAGCGATGCCCATCACACACTTTGCCAAGCTGGGAGCCCTGAGTTGGGGATGTGCAGCCTGTTCCCAGGTAAACTAGCCTCTCCGAGAGAGCAGGCATCTGTGTATTTCTCTCGAGTGTCCTGGAAAGGAGGTGGGTGCAGAATGGCTCACTCTCAAGCCTCCTGTCGTGGCCCTGCCTGACTTTTCTCTGATGTCTCAGTAAGTTTATATAGGAGAAGCCCTTAGGTTTAGATTCTAACAAGAACTTCAAGCTCTTTGTACTCATTTACTACTCCTTGGCTCTCACTTTCTCCCTGGTCTCCCAGTGAAAAACCCCACTGGGAGGGAGGAGCGAGGAGAACATACAGGAAAAGCAGGAGCCAGCATTACCCTGGGCACATTGCACTGGACCAGAGCCAAAGCAGAGTGAGCTCAGAGCACCTTCGAGTCCCCTCTCTGTATGAGTCCCAATAGATTGCAGATGGGCCTTCTGCTTGCTTAAACCGAGGGAGGACGGTCAGCTGTTAGCTCAGAGAGCGCAACCTGCTGCTCACAGAAGCATCTAGAGGAGCAGATGTGCAGCCCTGCCCTCGGAGGTGGCTGTCCCAAAGAGAGTGACCAATGAGCCTGGTTTGTCTGGGACTTGCCTGGTTTTGCCCCGTGCAAGCCCCAAGCCCCAGGAAATCCCATAGTTCTGGGTGGATAGAGATGGGAGGTCACCCTGTTCCCAGGCCTCTGCTTTATTAAAAGGCCCAAAACCAAGAATTTGGTTCCCCCATAGCAAAGATGAGCCAGAGCCAATCATTTCATGTCCTTGGCCAGAAAGCAGAAGTCCAAAGCTTAAAAACCAACAGTTTGTACCTCAGCTACATGCCCACGTGCTAAGTGAAAGAAGCCAGACTCAAAAATCATACACACAGTAGGATTCCATTTATGCAACTTTCTGGGTAGGGCAAAATTATGAGGAAAGAAAACCAGTCTGTAGTAGCTAGGGCTTGAGAGAAAGGGTTGACCACAAAGGGGTATGTGGGAAATTTTGGGGATGATAGAAATCCTTCTGTCTCAAATCTGCATGGTGGTGGTGCTTCCAGAGTTCTAGGTGTCCGTGATAACTCAGAACTGTACAGTTAGCAGGGCTTTTTTTTTTTTTTCCTGTGTGTAAATTATACCTCTAGGAGGCTGACTTTAAGCCCTTGTGGGGCGCCAGAGTGGCTTAGTCGGTTGTGTCTGATTCTTGGTTTCAGCTCAGGTCATGATCTCAGGGTCATGAGATGGAGCCCCACAGCGGAACCCTTGCTCAGCAGGGAGTCTGCTGGTCCCTCTTCCTCTGCTCCTCCCTGCAGGCACATGTGCTCTTTCTCTGAAATAAATCGTTTTGTTTTGTTTTGTTTTGTTTGAAATAAATGAAATCTTAAAAATAAAACAAACTCTAGCATTTTGGGGTGTCGTGGAATAAGCTGGGGAATCTGTTGAGTGCCCCGTTGACCATCACAGATTGTAAATAGAATCTGAGGTCTCCGTGTTTTCATGTTTGCAGCAATCTGGAAATACAGCAGAAGAGAGTGAAGAATTTGGGTAGAAAACCAAAGGATTGACTGCTTGACAGCATTTTAAATGCAAGAGACTTTTCCATTAGGTGTAAACACTGTGAGGGTGGAAGCTCTCCCTCTACTTAGAGAAAAGGGAAAGCAGTTCTCCTAAAACCCAGGCAGCAGATGAGCCCAAGAGGGTCACGGAATAGCAAAGCATTAGCTCTGGGCTCCCACCCTGGGAACTCTGCTGCTACACACATGGATCTAATGTATTGAATTTGGCAGCCTTCCTGCAAATCTTTTTTCTTTTTTTCTTCTCCCCTCACCAATAAAGTTGTTGAATTGGAATTGAGTACTCAAGTCTGCACCATAATTACTTCCTGGCTGACTTTTTGTTTCTGGAAGTCCTGCTTGTCTATGCTAGCTAGGAATGATTTCGAGGCAGGGAGAGCCCATGATTTAACAGAATAATGCACCTAGTTCCATATGATGTAAGGGAGCAGCCCTCTTGGTTCCAGAAAGGGAAAAGCCTCATAGGCAAGGGCAGCATCACCAGGAGATGGGACGTGGAATTCCTCGAGAATGGAAGAGTCACTAGCACTCTGGTGATCCTAATGCAATCTAAAGATCTTGGTGGTTTCTATTTTTTCCTTTTCCATTCTTTCTTTTTTTTAAATCAAAACCCATGTCGATTTGCCTTGTTCTTTAGGTGGACTGCGTCAGGATCTATGACCTGGGGAGCTGAACCTGTTTCTTCCCATCTTTCTTAAAGATGGTGTATGGAAAGGCTGTAGAACTTTCATCCATGAGGACAATCTGGGCCTAGATCACTTTCAACCGTGAATTACTTAGTTTCATGTGAGCAACTTTTCTTACAAATATATCCAAGCTACTAGTCACCTGCAAAGGCAGGTCTGTTTCACCTGTTCTTGGGATATGCAGGGAGAAATGTTGGGGCGGCCCTTAGTTTTTTTTTTTTTTTGAAAGATTTTATTTATTCATAAGAGACACAGAGAGAGGCAGAGACACAGGCAGAGGGAGAAGCAGGCCCCATGCAGGGAGCCGGGCGTGGGACTCCAGGATCACGCCCCAGGCCAAAGGCAGGCGCTAAACCACTGATCCACCCAGGGGATCCCTGCAGCCCTTAGTTCTAATTGTCTCAACTTTGTTGGAAGGCGCTGAAGTGGGAGGGAAATCTGTTTCGTATGTATCTGAAATGAAACATCCCTGTGCAGGGTCAGACCTCGCTTATCGTGGGTCCACCTAGGAAAGCCTAGGTTTGGGGCAGCCCCAGGGGTCCACTGCAAGTTCAGGTACAAGAATGGGAAGGCAGCAGAGGAGAAGCTGGGAATGCCTGGCTGGGGAAGTTCCGGATACTTCCTTACCTGGATTGTGGACTGTTGCCGCCATCTGCCTAGGGCTACCCCGGCACGCTGGCATCCTTTTGGGTTGTGGGGATGATCTTAGCCTCCCTGTTAGACCAGCAAGTGGGAACACCGCCATTTCCTTCTATCCTCCACCCTCTTTTCTTTTCTCCCCCAGTTTTTACACAACAGGATTTATTCATGTTGACTGTATTCAAGTCCCCAGATGGGGGGAGAAAAAGAGATTGTGTTGAATGAGCTTATTGTTTGGAGATTTCACTGACTTCTTTTATTTAATACCCACAGTCTTGGAACATATTGAGCTGATTTACTAAAATTCAAATATAGTCCTTTTGGAAGGAATTCTGCTAGGGTGCTTGGTACCCCTGATTTTGGGGTTGGGACCTGTTGGGTGGTGAGTTTGCTTGGGACATCTCCTCTTCATCTTTATGGTCTTGGTCTTGGGTCCACAAGGATTGGATATTCTCAGTTATAATACCAGGCTCCTAATGAGCTTGAGATGGTCACCACCCAACTGCCCTTTGCATCATCTGGGCCTTCTGTGCCATCCCCTCTAGTACAAGTGGAAGGAAATAAATGGTGGTGACATAGCAGACTTGGGCTGAAGTGGCAAGTATCAAACAGCCTCATTCCTGCTGCTCGAATGCCTAATGTGGTGTGGCTGGTCCATGATAGGGTAAAATTGAATTGTGTGCCTTTTAGCATGTTTTAGAGACAGGGTTCCTGCAGTCAATAATGCTGGAATGGTGGCTGAGGATCATGGTGTATGATGATCTGGTACAGTTGTCTGGATGGCTGCAACACAGTTGTCTTGTGACAGCTCCTGGTGTCTGGAGCTCTCAGGGATCTCCTGAGAGAGGGAGCCACTGCAGGTACTTGAGCTGGGTGAGGCTTGTGTCCTGCTGGAGACAGTGGGAGCCCATCTCTGGTTCATGTCTGTAGCATCCCAGATGCGTAGAAGTCAGCCTGTGGTAGAGTGAGTTGGGTTAACAACAGAACCATCACAGGCAAGTGTGTTAGGTGCTCCGGGACCTCTCTTGGGTGCTGCACACAGGCTTGCTCTTGCTCCTGCACGTGGGGTGTCCTCCCTCTTTCTCTCCCCACTCCCTCCCTGCTCTTTCATTCCCTGTTTTCCCCTTTTGACTTTCTGCTGGTTTCTCTCTTTATTTCCCTGCCATATCTGTTCAGATCTCCTGAGTCTTGAGGTTAGGAAAAGGATTCTTGGGCTCCTGGGAAGCTCAGTCTTTAAGTGTCTGCCTTTGGCTCAGATCATGATCCCAGGGTCCTGGGATTGAGTTCCGCATCGGGCTCCCTGCTCTGTGGGGAGCCTACTTCTCCCTCTGCCTGCTGCCCCTGCTTGTGCTGCTTGTTCTCTTTCTCTCTGTCAAATAAATAAATGATCAAAAAAAAAGGGGGGGGGATTCCCTCTGAGAACCTGAGTCCAGAAAGAGCCTCCCCCTGACCCCAGGTCTCTAGTAGTGTTGGGCTTTCATTTGTAGTAGCCATGGCTAGAATCCTAGGTTTCCCTGGGGAGCTGATGACCTGAGTCCGGGTAGGGAAAGTGGGGCTTGCTCTCAACCAAAGAGCATCTCATTCCCTCCTAGCAGAGGAGGCCATAGTGAAAATCTGTTCAGCATTCCCCCTGGTGTTTCCTCAGACCCTAG